ATACACACACAGCCGGCCGCCAGCTCCCCCGAGCCGTCCCCAGCTGGCCCTCGGGGGCCCACCCCCAGCTCCAGGAGCTGTACGAGGCGTGTGTCAGCTCCGCACCCGAACAGCGACCCAGCATGGACCAGGTGGGGGAGGGGAGGAGGGGGGCGGAGGGGCGCTGCAAAGGGGGGAAAGGTGGATAGTTGCATGGCAATGGTTGGGTGCGTGGGGCCTCGGCGGGCGGGGGAAGGGGGCAGTGGAAGAGAGCAGGGAGGGGAGGGGGAGGTCCTTGTCGGGAGTGGCCGTCCAGTCACTACGGTGGTGGTGAAACTGGATCTGGATCTGGGTGTTGTTGCACAACCAGCTGGCTGCTGCGGCCGCCTGGTGATGGTGCCACCCTCCATCTTCCCCCGGTTACCAGCACACCACCAACCCCCACACCCAATCTCTGCTTCTGTCTCTGCCCTGCACATCTGCATGTGCTGCCTTCAGGTGGTTTCGGAGCTGCGGCTGCTAGACGAGGGGCTCCGTAATGAGCGACCCAAGGGTCGGGCAGCAGCCGCAGCCGGGTATGCGGCCCTGGCTGCTGCGGGTATGTCCCGGGGGGGAGCCTCCGGGTGCTACATGCCCGGGTTCCTCCTGTGAATGGGGGCCCTTGCGGCTGTGGGGGGGAGGGGGGGGGATGGACGCTGGCTTGAGGCTCGCAGGGTCTACTGCCCACACTGGCAGTACTGGAAACAGTGGCAGTGCAATACGGCACTGACAGTGTGCTGAGGTGGAGAGGGTGGCATTGCGACAGCCGACAGACAGACAGACGGTCGGTTGTCGCTGTGAACATTGGAGGGTTGTATCGTGTTGTGTTGTATTGTACATTACGGCAGGGGCTTGATCAGCTTTATTCGGTTTGCAAGTACGGCAATACGTGATTGAGACATCCATGGCAAGGATGGATTTGAACCACAGCCATGGTTCGGTGTATGAATGGTGTAGGATGGTCACAGCATACGTACGACGAGAGAACACACCGCACGTTCACTCACTCATTTAGGTACGACAACGAAGGAATCAACAACGAAGGAATCAAGATCGTACGACAACATGGAGAAGTCTCTCCACGCTGCGGAGGGGTTTCCTCCGAGGGGGGGATTGTGTTGGATGTGGGCCACGTGCTGCACTGTACTGCACTGTACTGCACTGCACTGCACGGAGGGGGGGGGTCGAGGGGGGGTTCGCCCTAACGCGCGGAAGATCTTTCACTCGACGCGGAATGGTGGAGGTGAAGGAAATACTAATCTTGAATATGGGGGTGATGGGGGTGGTGGTGGGGTTGAGACGGCCCGCCGCCCCGGCTGCGAAAGGGTGTGGTGGTGCTGATGAGGCTGCGTGCGTTTGGTGAGTGAGGGGGAGTGAGTCTGCGCGTGTGTTTGGTGTAGATGTGCAAAGCAGGCGACCAACTGCACACAACCCACATGCCGGTAATGTCTATGGGTATGTATATGCATGTGTACCTGTATGTATGTATGTTGTTACAGGGTGGTCAACTTCGCCAGCGGCCCCCTTTCCCGGGGCAGTCCCTGCTCTCCCCTGCTAGAGGGGCACCCTAATCCGTCACCCCATCCGACTTCAGAATGTATTCGTTGGGTTCGGCAACTCACCACCAGCATCCAACCAAATCTAGCGGATCAACGGCGCATCAACTTAGTTCCTGGTCAGCTCGCAAGTTGATATTATCACGTCCTACACCGTCCATAAGATGGGGGGCCACCTCCCATTTCATCACTCCTCAAACACCCGAGGAGCCGGCAGGCGGATTTGAACCCGGGTCGACTGGGTCGACTGGGAGCAGAAGTCAGGCCTTAACCTCTGCCAGCCGCCTGTATGTATGTATGCATGTATGTGTGTAGGTAGGTAGGTAGATAGGTATACCAAAAGGAACCAAAGGTGGGCCTCGGGTGAGAAATTAGCTGTTCGTGCTGCCAGCAGCAGCAGCAGCAGCAGCAGCAGCAGCAGCACCTGCCCCGACGAGGCCGAACTCCGTCACGGCCACATCTATATGTGGCCCCCAACCTCCGGGGGAGGGGGGGAGGGTGCTTCTCAGCGCGGATGAGTGACGGATGCTGCGTACTGCCTGCTGCCGAAAGGCTCTTCATGACTGCTTTGCCAAACAGTTGGTATTGAGTTTCCAGAAAGCGCCAGAGCTCCGGCGGCCTCCTGCTTGTGGAACACCTGGGTCGCTGCCTGTCTGCCTGCCTGCCTGGACGGTGACTGTCTGTCTGTCTGTCTGTTCCCTTGTTGGTGGGGGCCGCCGCCGCCGTGTGAGGTGGAGGTGGTGCCACAATGTGCGACACATTCCGCATTACGCGCGGGTTTCAATCAAGGAGGGAAACTTAACCCCGGTGCTTGTATGTGCTTGTGTGTGTGTGTGTGTGTGTGTGTGTGAGAAAGAGAGGGAGAGAGAGAGAGAGGGAGAGAGAGAGAGAGAGAGAGAACAGCAAGGAGACACCTCTCACGTCAAAATGCTCAAGGTGTGTGCTCAAGGAACGGAGTGGGAGTAGTATGTAGTGTTGTGAGCTGCATTTAAGAAAAAACAAACATGTCTATCTATCTATGATATCTCTACCTACGTATCTATCTATCTATATATCTACCTGTGGCCTCTCGGGGAGGTTCAGCGGTTCGGACGCGAGGGCCTTATGCTCAGGCGGGGGAAGGGGGCCAGGGGGTAAGGGGAGAGTGGCACCAGATGGACGGACTCCCGGGCCTTTTGCCTCCCTCCCTCCAAGTTCCCTTTTTGCCCCCTGAAACCCTCTCTCGCATTCGAATGTGATCCCCCCCGTGATCATTTGCCAGTCCCCTTTGGGGCCCCTGGGCTGGTGGTGGGCTGTGTATGTAAGTATGTATGTGTTTGTTTGCCTTTAGGGTTTGACACCTTAATGGCATCGCTGGCTTCAAATTGTCTCATCATGCATTGTGGCGCTTACGATTGAAGACAGTAGTGAGGTGCGTTTGTTGCAATAAGGGCCCATTGCATTGAGGGCCCAGGGAAAGGCGAGCGGGGTGTGTGTGTGTGTGTGTGTGTGTGTGTGTGTGTGTGTGTGTGTGTGTGTGTGTGTGTGTGTGTGAGAGTGAGTGAGTGAGTGAGAGAGAGAGAGAGAGAGAGAGAGAGAGGAAGAGAGGAGGGAGGGAGGGAGGGAGGAAGGCACTTAAGAGATGGAGAGAGAGAGATGGACATGAGATATGGAGAGAGTAGACGGGGTGAGGACGAGTAGGCCTGGGTGGTAATATTGGCCTGCCGTATCACGTACATCATGCATACATACGTACATAGGTCAGGCACTACTGGTACCGCACACACCGATGCCCCCGGAGGTTCCGGGATCTAGACCTGTCAGGGTCGAAAATCCTTCCGATAGTGGAAGGTAAGTGTGCGTGGCCAACCCTGAGTCGATGGACGGTGGCGACCTGGGATAAAGTAGACCTGCAAGCTGACCAGAAACGGAGTTGAGCCGCCGTTGATCTAGCATATTCCGCTGGTTTGCCGGTGGTGGGTGCGGAACCTGAGGAATTTACTGTAAAGTTAGCTATGGTGGCTAGATGAGGGTGCCCCAAAATACCGGGGGTGGTAGGGTTTTGGCCTGGTTAGTGGCCACGGGTGAAGATATGCCCCCCTGTTCCACACATCACCCACATGTACAACAGCAGCAGGTGGTGGAGTCGTACACAACATGTGTTGTTCCGGATGTGCCCCGCGGTGGACGAAATGGTGGTCATTGCGGTCACACGCGCCAGGCGCCAGGCAGGTTTAAGGAGCTGATCTGATGTGAAGACCAGACAGCGTCGATGTGACAGGGGCACCTAACCGTGCACCCCAACGTGAACGACCGCCGAAGCACTCCATCATTGGAGGGACGTTATATCGGTTAGAATCCTAACCGTTCTCCCAAGGCGCATGTGCGTGTATGTGCTTGTGTGCTTGTGTGCACATGTGTGTGTATGTGTATGTGTGTGCATGTGCATATATGTGTGTGTATGTGTGTATGTCAGGTAGTGGTCCAAAGGCACTTCACGGCGCCCCCCCCACACCCCGCTGACTCTCTCCCGAGTAATTCGGAAGGCGGTGGTTTAAGAGTGTTTGGAACAGCGCACACAGACCCGCGGGTGCGGCCTCTCCCTCTTTCAACCTCGCCCTCGGCCCCCTTCACCGGCCGCGGCGGCGGCACACCGTTGAGCTGCTGCTAGGTGGTAGGTTAGGCAGGTTAGGCAGGTTAGGCAGGTTATGGAGTCCGTTGACCGGGGGAGCCCCAGGGCACCGCCGGGACCAAACATCAGCTTCTTAAGTATAACAACACCAATAATAAGATCTAAGTAGTCGGTACAAATCTGAACGGGGGAAAAGGGGGCGTGTTTCGTGTTTCAGGACATCACAGCTTCCGGACGACAACGACCAATTATGATACTGCAAATCGCCGTTTCGGCGAGGCTTCTCTTCTCCCCCCCGCTCCTCCCCTCCCCTTCCCTCCCCTCCTGGAAACCCAACTGGAAAGGGCCACGTGAAGGCGGTGCGCGGGAGGGAGATGGAGGGAGATGGAACCCACCAGGCCAGAACCAGAGGAAGATGGGGCCAGGACAGCAAAATGCCGAACAGTCCCAGCAACGCCTCAGCAATGGTGCTATGTGAACCGTGTACATTACAAAGGGAATAGCACCCCGCTACAGGCACTGGCGATCCCCCCTCTCCCCCTACCTACCGGCTGACGACCTAACAGCGGCCGCCAGGTGGTCACTCTATACACCGGTATCACTGCATGGTGGGCGGTCAGATGGCAGCGGCTCCCGACACCGACCGCCAGCGGCTCACCCCGAGCAAACTGATTTGTCCATCGTACCCTCCGAAACATCAACAGTTGGGCGCTGCTTCGACGCACCCCAACCGTCTCCAACGACCTCCAACCACTAACAACAACTCCAAAATGTGTCCTGGCGTTAGAAACCCCACATCACCGCATCGCACGGGTGCACTGGTGCACATCTGGAGCCATGTGCCGCTGCCGCCGCCGGGGTTATGTGAGCCCGGGGGGGGGGGGAGACCCGGCCCCCGCCTGTCTCGGTGTGGCTTCGTGTTTCACTGGAGGCATCACACCATGACACCCCTCCTACCCCACCCCAAACCCCACCTCACCCCTAACCTCACCCCACCAGGGTTCGACACTGACCTTCCTGAAACTTGCGGGCTCCCCCGTACCTCCCAAATTTTCCTT